TTTTTAATTTTATATATTAACTATTAGCTAGCTATTTAATTATAATATTAATAAAGTATAAAATTAGTTTATATTGTTTTACTTTTAATATTAAAAAAAAAATTTGTTTATATTATATATAATATTCAATGAATATTCAATAAATATTCAAATATTCATTCAAAATTTTTCACTGAATATTCAAATATTAAAGTATTGAACGAATGAATACTCGAATACAAATTTTTTGACCAAGTTAGACCTCTAGTTTTAGAACCACAATGGCTTTCGGAACCAACAGAGTATGAGATAAAATTAGTACAACAATTATGTGAAGATTTTGAGACAACTGATAATATTTTCAACCTTCAAGAAATATTGTTAAATTGTTCAAAATTTAGAAACAAGTTTTGAGAATTCTGTTTTACTCCAAACTCTAAAATTTATGAATATCTGTTATTAGATAAATTCATTAAAGAGCAAATTTACTTTATTATAATTTATCAACAACAAGTAGAGGGGCTCTTTAATAAATTAGATTTGAAAACTTACCCCAATATGATACTTGACTTAAAACAATCAAAATTACAACTTTCTTCTAGAAATATAGATGAAAATCATATTGCTCTAGGATTCTCAGATATTCATATTAAATACAAAAAATCAATCATGAAAGAATCATATAGAAAGTATAAAAAATTATGGAGAAAAAGAAGCAACTAAAATATTTTTAGACATATTTCAAAATTAGTATTAGAAAAAAAAAATCAATATATTTTTTTAGTTATTAATAATATCAATAATATGTAATAAAATCTAAATTATATAAATCAGTTATAAAAAAAAATTTTGTACATATATCTGATATCATTTTAATATATGATGATACATATATTTGATTTACATAGTTTATTGAACACCCCAATGTCCTATATATAGTACAATATTGCCAAAAGTGTATATATAGCTTTTATTATAACAAAAACAAAAAACTTCTAATAAATATTTTTGTTTACAACTTTTTTTAATGATCACTTGAACCAAAATTTCCCACAAAAGAAAAGTCAAGTTTGGATACTGGAGTATAGAATAATACCTGTAGTAGGTAAACAACAGTATAGTTTTTATAAAAGTTAACCTTTTGTACTTTATGGGAACTTCTTTATATATTTGACATGCAAGCCAAAAGCGTCTTTATACAAGATAACTAGCTAGGGAAATGTGCCCTTGTATATGAAATTTTGGTGGAAATTATGGTTTTCCTTCATCGACAAAGCAATTTGTTTCGAATTAACCAGGGAATAGTAAAGAACTCTATTCTTAAGCCACACTCTTTTACTTGGTCAAGTGACTTTTCTCTTACTCACTTTTGCTTTTCTGCCAGCCTTTCAAAATTTTTTACAAAAAGTGGGAAATTTGGCTTACCCTCTCCAAAAGATCGGCATTGTTTACTTCACAAATTCAGATGGATTAGCGAAATGCAATCACGTGTTTGTTTATGGATGAATATGGCGCTACTTCATAGGACCCAGCCTGGAAACTTTCAGGCAATGGAGCTATCCGAAGTTGATAGAAAGGTTAAAAAGTAAATTTAATGTTAAGCCGAAGCTTTATAGTAGAGATATACAAATGTTGCATTTGTTATATAATTTTTATCAGCTATGTACGGGTTATAATAGTGCCTTCAGGGTTTTAGATTTCTTTTCATATTTTTTCTTTTTTACAATTAGTGTTTCTTTTTTCTTTTCTGTTTTTTCTTTTTCTGGTTATTTTTGTATTTTTCTTTTAAAAATTTCTCCTTTTGTCTTGTGCTTCTTGAAAAAAAGAAAGAATTAAAAGGGAAAAAAGAGATCTTGATGTGGTATACGACAGCCTGTCAATGATTAAGAGGGGTATCGTTTTGACGATCAAAATCTGAAGTAAGTTTTGAATCCCAAGTAAAACTAATAGTTGTTATAGCAGGTCACATTAGGTTTTTACCTGGTAAGTTTTTATTGAGTTAGAGCTACAAGTTGTAAAAATTTAGTACATTCATGTATATGAATTATATAACAGCTCACATGAATAAAGGCAGAATCACTTAAATATAAAAAAAACCTCTAATAAAACAAATGCTATAACTAGCCAAATAAAGTTACTATTCAAAAAAAAAAACAAGAATTAATTATTTGAAAACAAGCCAAAAAATCTTTACAAGATTATTTTTATTCTACATTAGTATATATATACAGTATATATTATAAACTAAATTTAGAATAAAGCTAAATTTAAAAGTAGTAGATAATTTTTTAAACACAGCACAAGTGCTGTTGCTTTTTTTTGTTTTTTGTTTTTTTAGTTTTTTTTTTGTCTTGTTCATTTTGTTTTTGCATTTTTTAAAGATCATAATATTTCATTAACATGAAATAATTTCATCTAAGTAAAATATTTAAAATAGTCCAAAACACAAAATAAATTATTGTACTTATTTTTTAACTATTTCTTATGGCCATTACACCAATATAATTTCTAGAAAAATAAATTGTTATTCCCATTTAAAATATCGAAGTAACAAATAAATTTCGGTAATATAAGTAATTTATAAAATTTCTACCCACTTTCAAACTGGAAATACCTACAGATTTCCGATAAATTGTGAACCAGAAGAGCCCCAGATGATCTCATTCCCATAGTTGCTAAATCAATGGAACTTAAACACCATTCTTCCGTAATGGTCACATACTTAGTTAGGTCAAACACTTTACGTGCTTATCACGGAATTATGACTAAGTAAAAAATTTATCGCGATTGAAATAAATAAGGATGTACCGGTAACTATTGCGGGGGTTTATGTGAAATCTATGCGAAAAGTGTATTTTTCGCTAATTTATTATTTTACGCAAATGTTATATGTTTTATATACAAATAGAATTATGAACAAAGATCATATACGCGTTATCATACGATCACTTCGACTAGCTCCAGTTACTTTAATGGCTCCATCATGCTCTAGAGTTCGGAGAATACTTTCAAATTGTTTTTCGTGGATCGGCTACATATAAAATATATTTCGATAAGCTAGTGAGATAATTGTTTCACATACGCATATGATCCTAAATCAACTTCATACAACTTACCTCATCTGATTGTGCTCTAAAATCTTCTAAAGCTTTTTTAACTGATATGCTTCTCGAATTCGTTTCTGACAACATCCTTACAAATGCGTTGCGCATAGCCTCTAGTACACGTCTTTCATGACTACCGTGTCCTGTGGTAATTAAATCCATGTCAATTCTGCCGGTTTCGGGGTCCCATGCAGAAAGCTGTATAGCTTCTCTAAGTAGTCGTTCAGCCTCTCTAACATCCGATATTTCAACTTTTTGTGAAAGCCTAAATAATACATAGTATTAAGTAAAATTCGCACTAAAATAATTATTAACTCTCAAATTACCTCATGCGTGCATGAGCTTCTGACAGTCTAATCATTGATTCCAACTGTCTAGTCGTCGCAGTAATGATGTTTTCAGAAGAACGCGGATCAATTCCGATCTTACGTAAATCTACATAAGCATTGACCAAAGCATTGGCTGATTCATCATCTCCAATAACCGGATGGTAATTTTTACGAGCGTATTTGATGTATTTTGTTAAAGTCTTGATAGACTATGAAAATTTTTGTATTAAGTTTATATGAATTTGATCCTAATTATTTAATGGAATTAAAATAGCTCACCAAAATATCTCTTCTGACAACATAAGGATTATTTTCTCTATATAAAGAAACCAAATGTTTTGCCAGCCTTTTGTCTGCGGTCAAATCTACTTTATCTAATACCAAATAAATCAGATCAAATCTGAAGATCGAAAATATATTCAAAAATTGATCATTTTCAACAATTCATATTGTAAGTCAATATAAGTTACAAGTGACGGCTATGTTACCTGGACATCAAAGTTGGTGGTAAATCGATGTTCTTTACTATGGATAGTTTCGGATTATATTTCGAATCAATAGGATTAGCAGATGCGAGAACAGACGTACGAGCGTTGAGAGTTGTAATAATCCCAGCTTTAGCAACAGATACAGTTTGTTGTTCCTAGTTACGCAAAAATGTAAATAAATATAATATTCTTCAATGTTGTTGTAATAAATAAGTAGTACTAACCATCACTTCATGAAGGATAGCACGTGCACCATCCGACATTTTGTCAAATTCATCAATACAGCAAACACCTTCATCGCTAAGCACCAATGCACCACTAAAAGACGAATAGAAATTTGCGATTAATAAATATGTAAACTAAGTTAGCAATAAAGTTTATAATTTCGCTAATTGTGATATACCTTTCTAGTACCATTTGTTTAGTGTCTGGGTCTCTTGTGACATATGCAGTTAAACCAACCGCTGAAGATCCTTTTCCGGAAGTATAAACTCCACGGGGAGCAATTTTATGGACATACTGTAAGAAGCACGTTTAATGTCTTGATTGACAATCAAGCTATATATCTTTCGAAATAAAGTCATTTATCATACCTGCAACATTTGAGATTTGGCAGTACCAGGATCGCCAACCAGCAAAACATTCACATCTCCTCTGTAATGAGGCGAGCCTGACCTCTCGAGTTTTTTACAAGTTCCACCGAATAACTGTAGGAGTATTCCTTTTTTAATATCATCTAATCCGTAAATACTTGGTGCTACAGATAGATAATAAAGCTATAGTGACAAGATGTGATTTAAAATCAATTAAATATCACAATAACAAAATACTATAATTTACCTAGAGACTGCGCTAGATTCTGATATAAGTCAAAATCACTCTGACTTGGTAAACTTTCAAAATATTGAATATCCTCTTCGGTAAATTCTGGTCTGGTCTCCTGTGGAGTGTTTGATGAAGCAATATTATCATCATTTTCAGCATTTAAATCATAGCTGTTTTTATTTCGGATTAATTTTAGTTAAAAAATATATATATGGGAATATTACTCAAAGGTACACTTTAGTTTATCGTACCTGAAATAATCTTCAGGATCGAATAAGTTATCATTCTGACGATTCTGATCAGCCTTTGCAATATGAACTACATCGAGATAGGTCTTAAATAAAGCTTTAATAGTACGTTTGCGTGGATGAACCCGAATTGGTGTGGAACGATAAATAGCAGTTAATTCAACTCTGAAATTTCGTGACGATAATAAATACGAAGCATATTATCAAATTTAAGACAAATATATAAAACTATATGGAGAAATAATTTACTTGTCACCAGGTCGTGAGGTATCGACTAATTCATCATATAAACAGACGGATACAGAGTGGGGAGTTTGCCCATCAGGGATGTTATCTAGTAAGGTTATTTTAAATGAACTTTTAGACCAAGTACATTATATACAGCTAACTCTCTCTAAACCGAATCTTTAGGTTTATTAAGAAAGTAATTTAAAAGTCTAGCTTATAAATATACTTAATATTTAACTCGAAATTTATAATAAAGTTTATTGCTGTTTTCAAAGTATTTGAAAATAAAAATATCTCTAAATATTGTGAATATTTAACTAAATATCGTAAATATTCAAAATTTTTTTCTTTTTTTTTTTTGAATACTTTAAATATAATAGTTACATTTAAAGTATTCAAAAAAAAATATATATTTGAATATTCACGATCAGTGTTCATTTTTCACGTGCGCACACTTTTGCGCACGTGAAAAATGAACACAGTCAATGTTTAAAAATTTTTATTTTAAATTATTTCGAAAACAGCGATAAATTAAAGTTCAGCTTAGACAGTTTATTTTTTGTTGATCTAGGTTCGGGTTGATTATATATTAAGATCAGATGTAAAGTAGAATTGCAAACCTGGAGTTTCTTGCAATCGACAAACTTGTCTATCTTTGAAAGAAGACCTATTGTGTATCAAAGTCATTGTGTTCGTTGAGTTACACTCACGTCTACGGCACCTGTGAGGTTCATCAATCTTGCCACGGTCCACTTCAACCTCGACGGAAGAATCACAAATCGAACAACGGAAAAAGGCTTTTCCGAAAAATATCAACTATTGCTTAACAATATGATAATATATAAATAATTAAGTGAAAAATGCAAAATACGTACCAGCAGACATTTCAGGAAGTATAGGCGAGGTCCTGATAAAAAGACCTTTTACAGACACTATTTTATCAATATCTGTTAAATGATAAATAATATATAGAAATTTAATGATAAGAAAAAAGAAGGTACAAGAAGTCGGTGTGATAATAGCTTAAGTAATTCCCTGCTGGATTCAAATCTCGCATGTTTGTGGATTTTCCTAAGTTAAATGGTCGCACCTAATTAATAGTTTTTAAGAACTGTATGTTAAATAAATGTTAATTAGTTTAATAAAAATCAGGAACGTACCTTTAACATTATTTGGTTATTCGGATCCTCAATCATGCAATGTTTTTTGTAAGTGGCCGTAAGAACATCATCAAAAATTGGGAGGATTTCTTGAGGATAGTTCATTAGTTGAAAATACAATTTTTTTGCTGGTTCGTATGCAAGAAGATTTTGCATGTCGAGGTTCAACTTGTATATTTCTGTTTGCTTAATCTGAGCCAAATATGAGAATCTATTAACGTCCTGTTCGTAAATTATTCTTAGTAAATCATTACCTTTTGCATATAATTCTGATAGAATGGTTCCCTGTCTATATCTGTTACGGTAAGGTTTTCTTTCTCCTTACGGTATCGTAGCTTAAAGTTAAAAAGAAAATCTTCAAATGATTTTTTGACTTCTTTTATTTCTACATTGGTACCCCATATTTGATCTTGTCTCTCTTTTACTTTTCTCTGCTCCTCATCAAGCCTTTCGCTTTCATTAGCCGGTAATTCATCCAAATTACCATTCTCATTATCCTCATTCAAGGGTAATCTAATGCTGGGATGCACGTCACCACGATAATTCCTGGGTGTTTTAAGTGATCCAATTGTCCCTGAATTACTGCAGATGAAAGTTAAAAAGCTGTTGCAGCAAAATTGAGAACAAACATTGATTTAAATTCTTTAGGTACCTCGTAATTCCATCCTCCTCATCTAAAAGCGCTCTAAGAGGATCCGATGATGGATCTTGAGCAAGGTGTTCTGGATTTTCATTTATTGTTGCTGGACGCCTAAAAATCAGCCTTCTTCGCGTAACACTTCCATTTATAGAATTTACAGATGTCACCGTTGCTGGAGAAGAGTTCGGATTATTATGCAACGGTGAATGCTCGAAACTATCGAGCTGGCGAACAGGGGTGTCCCCAAAACTGTCAAGCTGGCGAACAGGAGTATTGGGAGTATTGAATGTTGAGCTACGGTTCATAGATAACAGATATATTACAGGTAGAAAAGAAAAATGATCAAACCTACCAAAAAAAATATCTTTATATACTTTTCTTTCTATCGTCACGTCTATTATTTTGGTGTGTACGCGTGTTAACAAGATCAAGTCAAAAATCATGTTTCAAACCAATCAGGATCAATCGTATGATGTTTGATTCCGTTATATGGAATTATTACACGTGCATGTTAGTTCTAAATTACGATAACATGTTTTCGTTGACAATAATGGAAGATCTCCCCGAGATCGCATAGTCAGAACTCCCTATTAATAAAATAAATTACAGAATATTATCGTACGGTTTCTATTCGTTGGCAGATTAACCGCTAAGCTATAGGGCCCAAACCCTTATTATATATACATATACAGTGTATTAAAAATTTAATATCTTGTAATATAAAGCCATCACCTTTTAATTATAAATTAATACTGTATAACTTTTTAAAAACAAAAGAAATTTAAAAATTTTTTTGACAATTTAATAGCTTTTTGTTTAAACTATTAAACATCAAAAAAATTTTTAAATATCTTTTGTTTTAGAAAGTTATATTAATTTGATTCAAAATTTTGATAAAAAAACATAACAAAAATTGAATTTTATTAATAAAATTTAAATTGTATTAAGTTTTTCTGCGACAATTGGTACGTAGATGAAATCCGCTGCATTAAAATATTTTATATTTTTTACTACTATTACTTATTTTATATTTATTACTTTTTGTTATATTTTTTATACTGTTATATTCTATCAAAAATATTAAAAATTAAATTATACAAGTACTGTATTAATTCTATTTTATTTTATAAATATAATAAAAATATATATACAGTAGAATCGGTATGCATGGTGGACAGGCTTGTATCAGTTCTAAGCAGTGTCTGAAATTGGGTTGCGGAGTCTGCGGACCGCAACAAAGTTTTAAATTCCCGCAACCAAAATCTGAAGTG